AGAGGCGAATCGGGGCATCGCAATGGATTTTCGCACCAGGCAACTCGAGCATGCATCATTCATCATTTGGAATAGAGCTAAGGCATTCCATGGATTTGCGTGCCAATTTACTCGCTTTCCCAGATTAATTTGTTAATTAATTAGGGTTTTGTAATATTTAATTATTCATTTCAGACTGTATTATTCTTTCGGACCCTCCGAGCGAGGGCAATGTTGTAATAAGTGTGCGTGAGTGTGATGTATGTCTTCCAACCCCACGTCTTTCTCTTTTTTATTTACCAGCTTATAATGGTTAGATTAGGGCATGTTTCAATTAGCATACAGTATGATAGCATGTTCGCATTCATTCATCTGTCTTGCATGCACGGGCTCGGCGCATCATACTAACTGCATTTATATTTCAATTCCAAGTTGAATACTTGTTAGTTGTAGCATTCATATTCCCATGTTTTTAGAATGCCGCAGCCTGCTATAGTTGCACTTTTGCATTATTGCACTTAGGCATTCTGTATTATACTATTAATTAGGATCATGCGTGGATTTCTAATTAGCTTCTGTTTTTGCTTTTGAGTACTCGGTAAGTTTTTATGCTTTAGCATCTTGCATGCGTCTTATTGTGAGTGACTGCCATGATAGCGCTTACTATGAGTGCTAAATTGCTTATGGATTATAACTGGCCTGAATGCCTGTGGCGTGAGGTTGGATATTTTTTAAAAATGAACAATTCATCAAATGTGTGTTTTTAGCCCCTAGTAGTGCCAAAATCATATTTTCTAAGCCCACCTCGAGGGTGGCAAATCCAATCTTAGCCTACTTGCGGGGGGTATGGTTGTTGTGTTTTTTTTTGTTCTTTTTTAGCACAAATAGCACCATCAACCAACTTTCAAAAAGAAACTGAAATGTTTTGTTCCAATTTAGGCGGATTTGGTCTATACTTGTATGCTGTGCGCATCACATAGTAAATCTAGGCTAATAACCGGAATAAGAACGCATAATGTTTTCAAAACTAGATATCATGGTTAGTAGAGGCCGATCTTTGATCGGGCGAGCGGGGGTGCTCACGAAGTGACCTTCCCCAATCGTACCCAAGTTCCCGAGCCGAGGCAACTTTGGTGATGACGGACACGTGGCCTTAGGCAAACGAGTCAGGGTTTCCTAAATTTTCCCAAAATAAAATATTTAGGTGGCAATTCTGTATTTGGCAAAGCAGTCCATGTTTGGCCCTTCTTTCAAAATCTGTTTTCTCAAAACGATTTGCCGGATTTGGACTCTTTGGTTCAGATTGAGAACCGTGACAATTTGAGTCCGAGCTGTAGTGACCCCAATACGAACAGAATGGGACTCACCCTCCCGGGGCGTTCGGGGACGTCTACAGTTTTTCTCTTCAGTTGAATCAAAAAAAAAAATAAAATATCACATTGTTGGAAAGTGAAGCATGAAAAAAGAACCTTGAGGAAAATGCAGTTGACTCATCTCCCTTTGTTACCCCCTTCTATAAATACTGGTGACACATTTTAACTCCTATTTGACCAACACTCGTAAGGATCTCCTCCTTTGCAAGGGTTCCAAACAAATATTAGTACAAATCTCCAGTGAAATAGATGATTAGGATAAACTTCCTCACAAAAACCAATGCCACAGCAGGCTGCTCTGTATCAGCACCAAATTGGCGTGAAATATGAATGACCCGACTAACCGTATAATTATTTACTTGTTCATTTTTGTTAATGTCTAGAAAAACCAGAGTATGAAGATTGCATTCTACTTACCTTTTCCCCTTCAATATATGGTAGTTGTGTGTTAATCTGGGTAGTCTTTTCAAAATTGGTGATACTTGCAACAATAATGCTATAATAACCACATTTTTATACTACTAATCATCTCATGTTTTATTATTGCATTAATAATAAACAAAAGTGGTGGGACCTTTTAAACCAACACAATCATAACACATGAAACGGTATACAAATGCGGTCATTCTAGCATTATAGAACTCGCAATCTAGATATAGGTAGTCCTTCAACTAGTAAATGGTATACTTGGTTCAAAGTTACACTCCCCACACACTTCATGAAACTCAGGACATGGATTTAGCTCCAATTTCTATTGGCATAAATTAAACAGTAGAAATAGTAGATAGTGATGCATCTCAAACTAATAAGCATATCATGTAGGGCAAATTTCACTTTACACTCTATAGTTTTTGTCATGTGCAATTTATCTTTCTAATGTTTGAAAATGATCACATAATCCCCTCGTGGTTTGTAGACTAAAGTGTACCGTTAGGCTCATTGGCGATTTAATGAAAACACTCCTGTATTTCGTTATTTGTTTGGAAAACAAAATGCACTTTAATCCCCTGTGTTTTATTCTATGTGCGATTTAATCCTCTGTGCTTTATTCTATATGTGATTTACCCCGTTGAAATTTAAAAATAAGTATATAACCCTCTTATGTCTGTCACGTGTTTCACACTTCTTGTTAAGTTAGACGGAATGTTTAACAGTGTACTTTTAGTCCACAAATCACGTGTGGATTATGTGGTCCTTTCTAAACGTTAGGTGTAAACTGCACATAACCTAAACTATAAGAGGGTAAATTAGCCTCAAACTCAGGTGACAAAGTCTCCATCCCCTAATAAGCATATCATATCCTTGTACTCACTATACAACCCAATTATCCATATATATATATATATTTTTTTTTGGTGAACTGGAACTAATATAAATTAAGAAAGAAACCAAACCAAATTATGCATACATATATGTATATAGTAGCTCAACTTTCCTATTAGGATCTTAACACCCTCTTGGATCTTTTACTACAAAACAAAACGAAAGAGCACTTCCAAAAGTAGTAGAAAAGTATTCATCATAAATTAAAAGAAATAGGTATACATATCTACTTCAAGATATAAACAAATGTTTATGCATCCGTACACACAAACACACATCCCAAATCCAAAATGCATGTGAACAAGCACATGCAAATATGCATACATCATTTATAAAGAAAATCTCATTAACCTAATGAAGTCATACATACTAGATAGAGGAAGAAATTCTAGAAATGTTAATACAAGGAAAGCAATCACTAAATTATTACAAGCAACCACACTAAGAACAAGTGAGGTCAATAAAATGCTCATAGACATCATGTGGAGCAAAATATGACAATGAAAAAAACTCCTATGTACCAAGAAATCCTTAAAATTATGCTCAATTGCAAATCTCAAACCAGGAAGAATCTAAGAAGTATGAATACGGATACGGATATGGATACGGACATAGGACACAGCGATTTCAAAAAAATGAAGATGCAGACACAGCATGGATGCAACAATAAAATATGTTTTCATATATTTTTATTTGCTATCTAAATTAATATTACATGCACAAGCAATCACTATTAACAAAAACTAACTCTAATTTTATTTTATTAAAAAAAAACACACTTTTAAATTAACACTTACAGTTTATATCTTTTTTAATGGATGATCTATTAAGTATTTAAATTTAAGAAAAAAATAATAAACATTCAACATTCATCAAAAGCACTAAAAATTGGGAAAAGAACAACTTGACATGCCTCTAGTGTGTCTTTGACATGTCCCTTGAAAATAAATAAATTAAATAAAAGGACACGTCATGTAGTACTAGTGTGTCTCATATGTGTCCCCGAAATATCCGTGTGTCCGACATGAATACGACACTTATTTTGAAGTGTCGGTGCTTCATAATGATTACCATTTGGTTATAATTGCATTATCTAGAGTGGTAGTCATGCAAAAACTCTTTCCATGTCTATGAGCTTTTAAGCATGCCAAACACATCCCATACTCTTATGCGATGTCATACTCTTATGCGATGTGTTTGGCATGCACTCACTCACTATCCTAAGTAGTCAAGTTTACTATATAAAATATGCACAAGATTCTCATTATGCATAAAAGGCTCTAACGTTAGTTTCTAAACACTATTTTATTCTAAAATAAAACAAGTTTTTAAGAATATAAAATATGGTTGTGTTCTACTATGCTTAGCCATGAGAACTAGATAAATCCGACAGTTACATACCCACACCCCACCCAAATCCATGTAACATAGCTAAGGAACAACCATCAAATATGAATGTATCATGCCGAAAAAGGAAGCTTTCACCATTTGGTAGGAATCACTTACAAAGAACTAGGGGACCTAGAGATGTATAATCAATAAAATGTACGCACAAAAAAAGAAGAAAAATAGATTCGAACAAGCTCCATTTATCTCATGAATACCTTAATTTAGTGTTAGCAACAATGAAGCTATATTTCTAACAAAAGTACAAGAACCTAAGGACACAACAAATACCACAGGCCTTGATTTAATTATGCAACCAATGAATCACTTACACCATTCAATCAAAAACCACTAATGTGACCTAACACCCATAAACCATCAAATAGTACACCAAATGATCCAGGCCTGTTCATCAAATTACAGAGTTTTGTTGGTCACAAATTCACAATTCAGCATACTGCATCTGCGTATATAACATACATACATGCGTGTCTTCTCTGTATGTGTGTATGTTGAGGATTTCAGAAAGAACAAGGCCAACAAAGGGGTTACAGTCCATAAGAGCATCTCCAACACTTGACCAATTTTTTCATCTGATTTGATTCCAAATTTGAGTAAAAAACTTGATTTGATATGAACTACTCTGATCCTTTCATCAAAATCTTTTTAAAAATTCCTCTCTTATCCCAAAATTTTCTCTTCATCAAATTTGATGATAAAAAATCATCTCCAATGCTTCATCTTTTTAAAAATCATCTCCAATTCTCAATTTGATGAAAAAAAATGTCTCCTTTGATTTGATGAACATTTGATGAAAGGCTTACACATGAATTTTGAGCACTTTTTGAAAAGGTGGAGGATTGGAGATGCTCTACTTTCACACAAATTTTAGTAACCCAGAAACAAAAGATCAGAGTAGCAAACAGGACATGAAAAATCAAAACTAAAAATATTCATACAACCCTCAATTTATTTATGCAACCCATTCAACAAAAAAACAAACACATCTGACCCAACAACACACCATAATAATCCATCATCAATCACATCAGTAGCAGACAGAGGTTCCAAATTTCAACAAAATTACATAACTTCTTCTCATAGGGTTAATTAAGGAATTCAAGACACAACACGGCCAACAATGGGGTACTTAGCTTCGAACTTCTTCTCCCAATCGTTGAGAACGCCGATCTCCTTCTCAGAAAGGCCATCGAGAGAGGCACAGACGTCTTCCTCGTTCTTGCTCATCTTGGCTAGGGCTCGGCTCGCGTCCTTGCCGGCGAACATGCCGTAGGGGCCGCCGGGGCCGTAGAAGGATTTTCCGGCGGTGACATCGAAGATCCGACCCCTCACCGCCATGTAAATCGGCTTCGAGGGGACTGAGCCGTCGTACTGGTTCAGTTGCTGCAACGTGAACTCCATTGATGCTCGCTCGCTCGATCGAATAGATTCGATTTTCGAGTGGAGTGAGTAGGTGAGAGAATAATGTTTGACGGCCCGAAATTAGGGGTTCGAATTGGCTCAAAACCCAAAACGACATCGTTTTGGGTTTTGATTTTTTTTTGTTTTTTTATTTCTTCCTTTTCTTTCTGTCTCTTCGTTGAGTTGAACAAAGTTGAGAGAGAGAACACAGAGGCGAGAGAGACATCGTCGCAGCTCGTCGGCGTCCCAGCTCGTCGCTTGTCGGCATCGCAGCCCCGCCTCCACCTCTGCCTCCGCCCGCCGCCGCCGCCACCTCCACCTCCACCTCCACCTCCGCCCGATTTTGTTGGCCCCTTCTGTCTAGTTCTCCTCCTCCTCCTCATCCTCCTCCTTCTTCTTCCCTCTAATTTCGAGTCAAATTCGAGCCCCTATATTCGGGCTCTGTACCATTATTGGTAGGTGAGATGAGAAAGAAGACAAATTACAGAAAATTATTTAATAATCCCGTAACATCATACTTACTTGTAAGGGAAAATTATTTACAAGTCTTATTCGGGAGACTTGTCCTACATATGATCCTATTAAAAAATTTATATTCCCATAAGTTTTATGGGAAGTTTGTTGACACATTTACCCTAAATATTAGTTGTTAATATCATAAATAAAAGTAAAATCATATATAGGAAATTAAATGTTACTATAAATCATATATATATAAACGTAACATAACGTGACACCTACATAAACGTAACGTGACACTTATATATAACGTGACACCTACTTAAATGTAATGCGACACTTATGATCTATGGCAACATTCAATTTCCTATATAGGAAATTGAATGTTACCATAGATCATATTTATATGAAACGTAACGTGACACCAACTTAAACCAGCAACATTTTCACATTAAATTTTAAAAAATAAAAACTCATTAAGTTTGCAAAACGTAACGTGACACGTTACGTTACGTTTATGTAGGTGTCACGTTATGTTACGTTTATATAAGTGTCACGTCACGTTACGTTTATGTAGGATCTTGTGAAATACATTCCTATCTAAATAGGACTTGAGACTCTATAAGAAATTACACAAGACTTAGCCTACCATAAGTGTCTGAAAAAGGACTTATAAATAAGTCTCCATACTTTTAACTCTCGTATTATTCTTTTATCTCAACATAAATTTTGAGCATTTATCCATCTCTATCAATCAAAATCTTATAAAGCACTCTGTGTCTATATTCCGAAAATACTAAATAATCTCTCCAAATTACATAAAAGGGTAAATTACAATCATATTCTCTGAGATTTACTTAAATTATAAATTACCACTGTAATTTTAAAAATTACATTATGCCTCATCGGGGTAAGTTTCCAGATTATAGTCTCCTCGCTCAGAACGGCTAACAGGACATCCTGGTGATCTCTGCAAGGGGCGCTGCCTTGGACCTGCGGGAGACTAAGGAGGATTTTCCTGTAACAAAAAAAAAAAAAAAACATTATGCCTCCTAAGATTTCTAATTTCATAACAAATATATCATTTTATTAATAAATCATTAAGTTAATTAACAGTTTTTAATAATGTTAAAAATTTATTTTAATTAATAATTTAGATAATTTTATTATTTTATAGGTAAACAGTTAGAAATTTTATTTTTTCAATTAATTCTATTAAATAAAAAATTATGACAGGAAGGTATTTGTAATTTTTCAAACTACAAGGAGCAATTCGTATTTTAAGCAATCTTCAGGGGATATATTTGTACCGGTAGTGCTACGTAGCTCGAAACCCGTGGCTCAACACCAAAATGACGTCGTTTTGGTGTCGATTTTTTTTTTCTTTTTTTTTCTTTTTTCCGTCTTTTTGTTGCAGAACGAAGAAGGAGATGAAGAAGAAGGGAGAAGAAGAGAAGGAGAAGAAGGGAGAAGAGAAGGGAGGAGGAGGAGGAGGAGGAGGGAGGGGAGGGGGCCATAAAAATCTGTTGGAGGAGGAGGTGGGGCGAGGCGGTGGCGGAGCTTCCACCTGCGACGATCGGTGAGGAGCAAAGGTGCTGCGACGACGACGCCAACGGTCTGAAGCTGCGACGATCGGCGGCGAGGCGACGGCGGTGGTGCTGCGCGACGATCTCCTCCCTCCATTCTTCCTCTCCCTCCTCTCCCTTCTCTTTCTCCTCTCCCTCTTTCGAGCCAATTCGAGCCTCCCCTGTCGAGCTACGGCTCATTTCCGTATTTGTACCCTACATGAAATTTGTAAAACAATTCGTATTTTAAGCAATCTTCAAACGATATATTTGTAATTTACCCTACATGAAATTTGTATTAATTACGTACTTTTCCTATGTTTTTCAATCTATTTGCTAATAATGCCTAATGTTTTTTAAATGACTTTTTGTTAAGGATGAGTAATGAATATTTGAACCGATCACACCGATCAAATTGAATCGAACTGATCTGTTATATTTTGGACAGATATGTGATGACGAGCGGATAGTTATGGATTGATTTTTTTCAATCAGCCTAATTTTGGACGGATGACGGATTTGAAATTCCTTTGATCGCAACCAAACCATCAAACCGCAAGCACCATTAGTAATTTGTAAGATTTTGTGTTTTCAATTTGTTTAGATATTTTGTTTGTATTTTCAATTGAAAAAGAGTTTAGATATTTTGTTGTGTTTTCAATTTGTTTTCAATTTAGAAATCTTTTTATCAAATGGAAATGGTTGATATTTGGTATTTTTGTTTGTAAAATATAAGGCTTAATTTTGTCTTTTTAAAAAAAAATCAAATTAAATAGTTTTTGAATAAAAAAAAAGCAATGAAATAGTTTTGATAATGCATGATTTTCTTATATGTATTTATTATTAATATTTGATAATTTACTTGATAATTTTTTTGTTATGTTGAGTTGGATTGTCATAAAAAAAAAAAAAAAAATGTTGACAAGCTGTTATATTACGTTCAAAAATTGTAAAAGTTTAAGCCGCTAAACCAATTCGCATCTATTCATCAAATCTGCCAATCCGCTTAATCTGCATTCGTCAATTCAGTGGACGGATACGGATTGATTTTTTCTAATCCGCCCACCCGATAGATGGATGGCAGATTAGATATTTTTCGACCGCAATCGAACAACGAACACCCCTATTTTTTGTTAACATATGTTCTTATGGCACAGGTTAAGAAGATATTAAATGAATATATTTATATCATTTTATATAGAAAATAACATAATTTTAAAGGTTATCTTAATTAAAATTTGAGTTAATTACCTAAAAATCTTATTTATAAATGTTATAATAGCTTAGGTCATATCTAAGATTTTTTAAACCAATAAGCTCTATTTAATAAAACTGAGAATATTATCAATTTTTCCCAATTTTTAAAACTAATAATATTATCAATTTTATATAGTAGTGTTCCAGATAATTGTTTCATTAACTAATAAAAAAAAGAAAACATGAGATTAAAACGTTTTTGACTTTCTACTTATTAGTTTGATTCAACTATTCAATAAAATCGAGAATATTATTAGTTTTTTTTATAGGTTTAAAACTAAGAACGTTATTGCCAGATCAATTTTCCACCATCATGCTCCTTTATAGACACAAAATTTTCAGTTTTACATCAAAAAAAAAAAAAAGTTTTTTCAATTTTTTCAACACATAATTTTTTTGTGTGTGTGTAGTTTTTTCCATTTAAAAGTTTTAAAAATCAAAATAAATGTCAAATTATCATATTCTTTTATTAATAATAAAAAATGACGAACAATCATTATTTGAAAGACAATTCTGACTATTAATTAAAACTTGAAGATCTAAAAAATCTGAATTAAAACTTAATAGAATATAAATTCATAAATTAAGACTTGTGTTTTAAATTTTTTATATTTATAATAAGACAAACACTTTTTTTTTTCTTGCTTTGCACCCTTCTCTTCCCTGGTCTTTTATGCCTCTTCACTTTTTCTTCAAATTTAATATTTTATATTATTTTAGTTTGGTGAAAAGAAAAAAAAAATTAAATACTATTATTTTCATATGATATTTTAAATTCATATATATATATATATATATATCATTATTTATTTTTTGCAAATAACTTAAAAAAAAATAAATTCTAAATATTAAATCGAATAAAAATATTTTGCAACTAAAGTTTTTCAACATTACCTACATATATTTTGGTGGGGTTCTCACCTTATTAAAAACCGTTAAAAAAATAAAATAAAATAAAAAATATAAGATAGTTTCTGTTTCTATTTTTATTTTTAATTTTATCACACTATTTAGTAGTTGTTAAAAAAATTGTCTTAAAAAAACAAGGGTACTTATGTCCATATGGAAAAAAAATTAATTATTAAAAATCATCATAATTAATTTTGAGTGTTGTTATTAATATCTGTCAAAATTCTTTGGACCCCCTTTTTCTTTGGACTCCCACCCTAAATTCTAAATTTTAATAATATTTTTTTAGACACCCCCACTTATTACCAAATCTACCCATATTCAGTGGTGTTTGGGAAGTTTGTGTGTTGGGTTTTTTTTTTTTTTTTACACTAAAAGACAAACTTTTTGGAAAATAAAAAAAAATAAATCTAAACAAAATATCACATCCAACCCCATAATCATTTCACTTTTTCTCTCACATCACATCTAATCACAAAAAAATCCAACTATCTTTCCAAACACCAAATTTTTTTTATCCAATAATATCCTACAACTAAAAAAACTTACATAAAAATCCATTTCCCAAACACTCACAATATTTCCACAATCAAATGCACACCCATCCAATTTTTCATACCCTCTCATTTCTTGTTACTTGACTGTCTGTCTCCTTGGTTTCGTCTCCTCTGCACCGACCCAATCTACCCATTTCTTACAGAGTGCTGCTGTTTCATTGCTTTTTTTTTTTTTGTCTTCTCTGTTTCTTACAGTCTTTTGCTAGTGGTGGAGCTACACACAACAAAGCTGTAGACTTTTGTTCAGTTTAGTAGTGTTAAAAATAAAGATTATATTCGGTTCAATAGTATTGACTATTTGCATTAATGTTCGGAACTTATTTGTTGAATGAAA